GGAGGTATGTTCATGCTTCCCTATTTAATGTTTAAATGACAACTTTTTTTCAAGTTGCTAACATGCTCCAAGTATCTCCTACTCAAATAAAACAACTGAGAATGTCCCCAAGACCTGCAGACCGTTAGATCTGTGATTGTTATGTTGCAATTCAATTCCTATGTCTCTATTAATGGGTTCTCATATAAATTTGGAGAATAACAATGTATATTACAATGTAAAGAGCATAAAAAATGTCACAAACTTTTCTATTTGGTTAATTAATTTTGCCCTCACTTCCACATCACACACACACACACACACACCACACACACTAAAAATACCTTGTTATTTTCATACTCCATGCAGCAGAGGTAGTTTTTTGCCATTATTCTTAAATATGGGGAATCAGAATTTTTTTTCAGGGGATATAAGAAAAGTTTTCAAACTACTCAGAATTAAGTTTGGTGCTATATATATGCTGATAAACTTATAAGAGTACTCAACCTTAGCTTTAACTTTCCTTAGCATTCCATCTACTAGAAACATGGTTTCAAATAACCACTGGGTACATAATTACAGGCATTTCAAAGGCAAATGAACTTGGACATTTATTTCTTCCACTGTCAGATTTTGTTACAACGACAAAGTATTTGTTATATGGAAATGCATTCATTTGAATATTGGACATTGGGAGTTGAAAAATAACTCTTAAAAGATTTTTTTTCATTTCATATTTTTGTTTTTCAAGAGGGCAATAATCACCTAAATGGACACATTGTCTGGAATTTTGAGAAATAAAAGTCTCATTAAAAAAATCTACTTCCAATTTTCAGCTAGAGTGGTGTTTTTATAAATAACTGTGCCAAGGCAGCCATGTTAAAGAAGACATATATGTGTTATATCTAAAACAGGTGGATTCAACTTAAAGAGAAGTTAGTTTAACTAATGACATCATGTTGGTACAATCATGTTTAACTTTTAGTATTAATTCTACTTTCTGTGAATACATCTATCGAATATGAAGACAAGTGTTTCCTTTGTACAAGAATTGTTTTAACAGAAGATAGATCTAGCGATATGTCTGGTTGGTACTTTTTATTATATGTAATCCCTATAAACAGGAAGTAATAAGTAATTTAAGAAAGGGGAATACACATTTCATATACAATGTAAAAAGTAGTAGTAAAATCATAAAAAAAAGGGATCATAGTAGTATACAGAACGGAAAGAAGATGTAGAGATCCCTGACCATCGTAATCCTTGTTGAAGACCAAGTCATATTCAGTCCAAGTGATTTTAAATGGAGCTTAACTTTATGGTATATCCTAAAAGGTTTGAAAAGAAATTGACAAGGCAAGTTCTAAGAAACTAATGTCCTGGATCCAATATACTTGCAATCTAAAATTCTCTGCATGTCTCCACTGTGAATGACAAGTAGCCTTTAGAAAGTGTCATCTCATTCTTAAGACTCTCTTCACCATATCACTCATTCCCCCGCCCTTTCTAAGATTTCTTTCACATGCACTTAAAAGTAAATCACTTCCTTCTTAATAATTCTAGCATGGTTATCATTTAAGTTTTCTTAATATTCTCATGCATTTCTCAATTCTTAAAGGTTTAACTATATCCAGTCTCCCAATGATGGAAGTTTCTTTAAATATTTTTATACTGCAAACATTTTCATAAAACATTTATTATGAAATGAGAGGAAAATATTTAAGAAATTTTGTCTAAAGACACTTTAATCTCATCAAGAAACATGAATTGGATCCACCCTATTCCCAAATTTATCATTTGACTCTCTCCCCATTCTTCTTTCCCTCCCATATTTTGTTTTCTGTAATTCACATTCTTTTTTCCTTGTGTAACACATAAAAATTTTTCTTTGCTTTCCCATTGTCTCCCTTCCTTCTTACCAGTTTCAACTTGAGCTTGAAAGAGAGAAGAAATCTCAAAGGTTATAGAGACCTCTTCAAAACAAAATTTTCATGGTATTTATGGAATATAAAGAAACATGGACTGCTGTTCATTCTGCTTTGAAGGGCAGAAGATTAAAATTTTGACATACACATCATGTCCATTTTTAGATGGTTTTATAGACATACACATTTAAATTATATAATAGCATGTACTTTAATTATCTGCAAATGTTTCTACATCTTACCAGACTCAATAATTCAAGAGACTAGCTTTACATCTCTCAATCCCTTTTCTTTTCAGAAAATTTGACAATTAGAAAAACTTCCTTTTAAGTCTTAATCCTTATCAAACGATACTTTGATATATGACATTGTTATGTGACACACTGGTTGATCTTAAGTGAATATGATTTATTATGATTTATCCTCCATGTTTTGCTGTTAAGACTCACAAAGATGTTTCCTTTTTCAGATGTGATGACATGTAATAAGAACTAACATGTACATTAACTTAATTTTGTATCAAAATCAATATAAAGTAGGAAAATAAACAATATGGAATTTAAAGGACAAGGGGATGTTTACTGACTGAACACAAGCTTACAAGTCCAACTCTTTTTTCTGTCTAAAAAAATATTTAAGTTTATATTCATAAACTTCCAAAGGGAAGAGCAACACAGATAGAGGGTAATACAACCGTTTCTATCTAGCCCACACAGCTGAAGAAGCTACCCATTACCCAAGACGTATTTAGAGAACCTGAAAGTGATCCTCATTTTCTGGTATGAATCCAGCTCTTGCACTATGAAACACACATGTGTTAAGTCACATGCCTGTTCTATTCTTCAAGGGCAACTGACATAAACCTATGCAGAAAGCTACATCTTATTAACCTCTTTCTTGAGTCTATATTACCATATCTTCTGTTTTGGCATTTCAGTGAGGGTAGGTTGTCATAATGCAGCAGCACTTTCTTTTTTAAGTTTCAACGTTTTTAATTTCCTTTTTCCAGTAGGGATCCACCCTTTTCACTTTTGATAGCTAGCTGTGACAATTTTAGTTCTTTCCTAACAGTTCTGAAAGTTATGTTAAACATATATGAGTAGCCAAGTGTTGGCCTAGAACTATTTTTACTTGTACTATATCTAATATAATACTTCTTATACTGTCATGTCAGTTTACTGAAACTGACACTATTTCAGTTTTAGGAGAAAGTAACAATCCTTTGTTGCCTTGTTTTTATCTTAGATGTCCCTTTTCCTGATAGAACTAAACTGACACCAAATTGTAATCCTTTTAGTTACTATTTCCTATCTCAGAAGAAAGTTGGGAGTTTATATGTTTAACTTTTGATTATATATAAAATTCTCTTCAGATAATCATTCCAGTCATTATAGCAATGTCTCATGCACACTTTACAAAAGCACTGAGAACCTAGCTCTAGATGAGGTCAAATTTGTGGAGATTGGGAACTCAATCAGAAAAAGCCCAATAGCAGGAGTCTGCCAGTGCCATTATATTTTGTTGGCTTAGAGGACTAAAAGGCTTCATTCTGTTCATCTGCTCTGGTCCAACTTCAAAGACTCTTCCTAAGAAAGGTTGAGAGCTGATTGTTCCACATCAAAGACATCATCATTTCAAGTTAGAGCTATGTGCTTCCATTTTATCAGTATAGTTTTCAACTATTCCACACCAACTTCAAGGCAAGTTAAGGCAAGTTCAGAAGCTATATGGCTAGATGGTAATGATATGTTTAAAAGATTATTGCTCAGGATATGTCAGACTTTCTTAAGGAACTCATATTAGTCTCACTACTGGTTAAGGAAATGACATGTGTGAGTACATTATAAAGACTATAATCTGGTTGCCAACAGCAGGCTGGAAAGAAACACTACAATTCATTCCCCTGTTCTTTCCTATAATGAAGCAATAATTTTAGTCAATTCATAATTCCCTTTATATAAACACAGCCAGTAAATCTCCCAGCACAAAATTTTGTCTATTTGCTTGGCATTGGGATTTGGGTATCTATTCCATCTTTGTTATTTCTTTCTTTTCTAATTAAACAAACAAAAAACCGAAATACATCAGTCAATATAAACTCATGTTATGCTAAAATAAATAAATAAAATATATGTCTAGTATATACTTCTGATTTTACTTGAGTTAGTTAACCAATTCAATGTCAGTAGCCCCAATAGTCATCTATTTTTTAAAAATTTGTTCCCTTTTCTCACCCGTGAAGCTGTTGTCAAAGATTCTCAAACTTGCACAGGGATCCCTGGTTTACAGATCAAAAGTTTATAGAATCCAGGTTTATTATAATTCCCACGTCCTCTCTCCTCTGCTCCCCATACACACTCCGTTTAAACTTCTACCATTCATCAGCTCTTTGGAGAAAAAGCAAGGGCAAAACGCCAGTGGTGGCTTAGCATCTCCAGACACCATGAGCTGTGTCACAGACCTTTGGAATCAAAAGTCAAGTACAAGCAGGTGCCTGCGCGCAGAAGCTCCCTGCAAACCTTAGCCTCGCCGCGGCTGAGGAGAATCTCGCCCGAGTCTGACCCAGGAAGGGGCCACAGAAACGAAAGAGACTTGAGTCGGCGCTTTCTCCCTCGGCACAGACCAGGGGAGCCGCAGGCAAGGAAGTTGACCCAGGAGCTAAGTTGAGGAGCAGATACGTAACGCGGAGAATCTGAAGCCCGCAAAAGCTCCACGCGAGGAGAGTCAACGCGGGGGGCCGAGTCTTGCAAAAGCGAATTCTGTTCCCAACATCTGCAGTGCTTGGGGTGCGCGGGCAGAAGCGCGCAGTCAAGTCCAAACACTCCCGGCGGGGGGCCGGGGGGGACGCCGGGGGCATCAAATCGCGACCGGGAAACCGCCAAAGTAAAAAGCTGGAGGGAGCCGAGGACTCCCACGCTTGGGTCAGAAATCCCCCACCGCACCGCTCACCCCCCTCAAGGCCAGCGCACGGCGGCCAAGCAGTCCCGCGGAGCGCGGCCGTAAGGACTTAAGTTTCCCACTCACTTATGTGCAAGCATCGCCCAGCAGGAAAGCCGAGGGAGAACGGGCAAGACAGCGGGGAGGGGTTCTCCTTACCTCGGTCTGCTCCCACGGTCAGCACCTTGGCGATAGGCAGTAATCCCGAGAGAGTGAGGAAGGCCAGGAGAAACTCGGACATGGTGGTCGCCCGGTAAGGAAGCCTGCGCTGGAGACTGCTCGGCGGCACCCTCTGCCCGGCGGCGGCGGCGGCGGCGGCGGCTCGGAGCTCCGAATCCAGCAGCGTCATTTACAAATGTCACTGGAAATTCTTCAGCTCGATGAGCCCAGCCAGTCCGCCTTCTCCTGCCCGGAGCAGGATGTGGAAGGTGTACGGATGCGCGCGTGGGGAGAGAGCGTGTGCGAGCGCCGGCGAGCCGCTCGTGTGTCTTGACTTTTCAATGCAGGGTACGTCTGATCTTACATCACGCAGAGGGGCAGCGAGAGGTGCCAGCGGATGGGAATTCACTGATTAATCACCGAATCCACCGCACATCCCTTCGTCGTTCACATAAATCACATGTATTACTTAGGAAGAGGCATTTAACACAACAGCAAAATACCACCGCGTACTGAGAGCCCTACAAATCACAATTATTTCGATCTCCTTGAAGGGAAAGTAACTCCAAGCTGTTTATGTAGGGATTTGGGTATTGAGAGAAGGGGGAGACGTCTGCATTGGGCTGAGCCAGCCAGGCTCCTGGGAAGCTCCGCATTTAACAGCCAGCTGGGAATTAGCAGCGACTGCGCTGGGATACTTCTCTGGGCGAAGCAGGTCTGATCTCTTTAGCTCCCTGGAAGCTTCCTTCCCGGGAAGGAAGGGCGAGTCGAGTAACTGAGCTTCTTTTAGGGAAATGGTTTCCTCCGCTCTACACACAAATACGATGCTTTCTGAATTGCACTTTTAACTTTTATGCTGAGTAGCACCTGGGGACAAAGAGGCAATATTTAGTGACTCAGCAGAAAAAAACAATCCCCAAAGTCACTACCCATTGCATAAGAAGGGAAGGTGAATGGAAAGAGGTTCCTTCGCAGGGAACCATAAAAGCAAGGAATTGGCAGTTGATTTTGCAGCTCATTTCTCTCTTTAAAAGCGTACCTCCAACCATTTTAAACGTTTTGAGGATTTTTACAAAATGTTTTTGTTTTCTTTCTGTTTTTTTTTCTTTTCCCATGTAGTACAGTAGTAGTTTAAGAACTTTCCCAAATCATCCATGGCATCAAAGTGAATCAGTAGAATTAAAAAAAATAAAAGTTGTTCGTATGACCACTTACGTTTTTAAATATGATCATCCGAGTTTCTAAAATCTTAACAAATGGCTAAGGAGTTAAGACCTGGAGATCTTAATCGTTGAAGGCTAACTTTTTAACTTGTAACATCAATAATTCTTGTCTAGGAACAAAGGTTGAGAAATATTTTGTATTTATTATTTTTAAACCTAAAATGGTGTGAAAGAAGACTATAAGAATAAAACTAAGAATAAAAAGAACGAAATTAAGCAAAGGATGTTTGAAAGTGAAGTAAAGATACTTGAAACACTTTATTCAGTTTACTAGCTAACACTTAGATGAATGGCAGTTCTCTGAGCTAGCTGTTTATACGAGTAAAATTATCTGGAAACATCTTTGGATGCTCCTTAGAGGCCATTAAAATGAGACTGGATCAGTTACAGACATAACTGTAAGGAATGTTGCCAAGAATCTGTGAAATTCAATTTTTCATACTAATCTGTGATTATAAAACATGTCCTTTACATCAATTTTGCCATTTTTTAAAGTTTATTTTCCCTTGTAAATCGAATCATTTAGTGTTTAAAAGATGCCCCTTCCACATTTAAGTGTATGTTTTTTTCTTCTGAGGTTGTTCTATATACAATTTCATTTAGCCAATTTTGATTCCATAATAGATGTACCATATAGAAAAAAAATATTTTTCCTATTTTAGTTCATATTAAAAATTCACAAAATTTTGAATGCATGGCAAAATTCAAAAAATATGGGGAGGAGAAATAAATTTTGAGTGACACTCAAAGTAATAAACATTTCTTTCTCAAGGGTCCAGAAACCTCTGCATTCTATGAATACTTACCCTTTCTTTGGGACAAAGTAAGTGTCTCTGACATGACCCCATTCAGTCAACTAGGAGGCAGCTATTAAGAAATCCATATCCACTTAAGTCTTGGCAATAAAATGAGGAGTGCTCACAAACTATGTATGCTAAGTTCATTTAGATTTCTCCTCATCTATTCTATTACCACCAATTCCCCACCATCTCAAAAATTGTAGGGTAGAGAAAAGCAGCTAGGAAACAGTATAACCAACCAAAGACTTACCATGTACCAAAATGGTGATTGAAAATCAGTGACTCATTAACTTCTGCAGTGTATGTGGCAGCTCTGAATTCCCCTGTCAGGTCTTAAAATGATAAAGTTATGAAAGATAACCTGAGCAATAAATACCCAGCAGATTTTGTAATCTAATGTTTATTCTAAATATTTTCTGGTCTACATATGTAGTGCCTAATAATAAACCTAAGTGAATTAAAAACCATGTGATCTCTTATAGATCATCTGGTTGACTTTTTAACTGCCCTGAATAGAAGAAAATCAAGGATGCTCTGTCCACACCTTGTGACCAAAATAACAAAACAAAATATAATTCATTTTTTGTAATCACCAATCAAATCACTGTATACGAACATCACATGACTCAAAATGGTTGTGTGAAATAGTGGCAGCAATTGTGGAAGCTTGATTTCTTAAGTATAGGTTAGCATACCAACAAAAAGTGATGATACATTTAATATCAACTGAATGTTTCTCTATTTTATCTCTAAAATAAACTTTGAGTCATATTTTAAGAATGAAAATAGGTATTATTAACAAGGACTGTCGTGCCTTCAGCTCCAGGCAATTTAACTATGGATTCAGTGAGACCAAGAAATGACAATGGAACATACCCTGCTTTATTCTCCCAGAGGAAGGTCAAGCCCTAGAATCACATCATGCATCCATAAGTCTGCAGGTCCATATTGTCCTCCGTCTCTGCCTCGACCCAGAGCACTGTATAGAGTAACTCAGCCAATAACAGCTTATTGCCCAAGGTGTGGAAGCATTAGCCTAGCAGTAGGCCAATTACATCATCAAGTAGTTTTAGTGTCAGGTAAGGATCCTGGCCACAGCAACTTCCATTTTCCCCACGAGCATAAAGATGCTCCGCAGCAATTTGGTGAAAGAATGGATGCTTAGGTATGTATCAGTAGTCAAATGGATATAACATACACATTTAAATGCATGTCAAGCAGATTTTTAAGATAAAAATTACAATAGAGACATTGGTTTGCACCATAAACCCATAATAGTACATTATAGATTATATGAATTCTTAAACTGAAATAAGGCCAATGTCAAAATGTAATTAGATAAAATTGTCATGCATCAAATCACTTGTTTATGGTGGTTCTTCTTTAAAATACCCATTGCAAACCAATAATGTATCATAAGAGTTTTATGAACATCAGTGAAGTTGATAAAGATACAGGCCAAATCTGATTTTTTAAATTAAATATTTTATTTCTAGGTTTTAATTAACCATCCAATTATAATGGATTATAAATAAAAGTCAAAGCATAAGTATAATTTTCTATGAAAGCCTCTTATTTCCCATCACATATGCTTTAACACAAAAGGAAATTATAAAGTATATTATTAGTGAAGACAGAATGGCTAGAGTTAGTGTTTAAATTCTGTTTGTTCCTATGGCCCATTATAATTCCTTCATTCTAATCACAGTTATTAACCCTGACAAGTTAAATTAATTAATTCATCAAACTATAGAATGTTATGAAAACTCTTGGATAAATTAAACAAAGTAGAACAAATCATTCTTACTTTTTGGTCTGAAACAACACACGAATATTAATTATCAGTCAGCGGTAATCTCATACTTCCAATTAGAGCTACGATTTGTGTACATATGATCAAATCAGATTGCATTTCTGGTAATTTAATTATTTTCTTTGTGCTTTTTTTTTTTTTCTAACCATGGATAGTAACAATTCATGTGCTGCACACCTGAAAGTCCTGGTAGGGGAGGGAGCGTGTCTAAACAAACCAAGACTGACAGTCGGTCTTACTGAAGTGAAGTGTGTGAGGGAGAGCTGGCCTGGAAGTGAAGGTGCTAGGGGTTTCTCCAGCTCTCATCTCAAGGGCTGCTAGAGTTCCTACCCTGCCGTTACACAGGAAAGTTGCCAAGCAGCAGCAGACACTGGATGAGAAGGAAAAGGAACAGTCAGAGGGGGAGGAGATTGAGAACTGTTAAAGAAACATTATCAATGCTTTACGATTGAAACAGAGTTACTCTGGACAAAGACCTTAAGGGAGAAAAAAAAAACAAAAGAAAGCAAAAATAAAACCCTTTAGATTCATTTTATTTCTCAGTCTGCAGAGTTTCAATGCACATTTCAAACTGCTGTCCTTCCAGAACGTACTATAACTGGTAGCATATGGTTTCAAGTGGGACCTGTGTGTTTAGTTGAGATGGAGAGAATATTGGTACAACTTTAATTCCCACCATTAGTGACATATTATGAGCTTTGGATACCTGAAAAGAAAATGAAGAGTGATGCAATTATCTGATTAAACCTAGAAAGCAACAATATTGCCAGGCAAACTGAGTTTTTCTCTTTATGTAAGTCTCGGGTTCTTAATTGTCATTATTGGTACATGTTTTTGTATACATATTATAGTGAAAAGCACAACTGATAGTCAGACATAACTTTCAAAGGATAAATCTTAAAAGCTCTGAATACCAATTTGATTGCTTTACATTTTTCTCTGACTCTTACTTGAACTTTTGACAGAGGAAGGAAAAGAAGGAAAGGGTCTTTATAGATTTAGACAACCTCATCAGGCAACAATTGACTTCTGTAATAATAATAATACAGACTCAAGAGACAAATCCTATTTTGCTTTTTGGATATGTCTTTAGAAGGCACAATAATATTGCAATCCCTGCGTGTGCGTTGGGGAAGGGCAGATACATAAGCACTAAAAAATCATGAAATCTTTGCCACATACTCGTGTGGAAATAGCCCTTGAGTTTCAAGTCAGTTGCTGATTATAAGGCTTGTTGCTGTTAGTGCTTTTTGCCCTTGACATACCTGTAGTTAAAATGACCTTCACATCCCCTCTCCAGCTGCTAGAATAGAATTAGTGTTCCAAACTGGAGATTGATAGTCATTGGTCCATGATCAGGATGCACTTTGTCTGAATAAGTCATTGCAGCTTTTTCCCACCTGCTAATATTGATCTCTGTCCTTTTCCGTTATCATCTTTCTGCTCCTTATTTTTAATTAGAAACTCTTAGACTGATGAAGCTGTAAGGAACATTCAAATAGTCTCTTCCAATTTACCACATTTTACAGATGAAAAAATTTAGAGTAGGAAAGGTGACTACTCTGAGGTCACACATTTTATTAATGTCAGAAATAGCCCCTGAATAAAGTTTCTTGACTCTTATCTATATTAAGTGGTTGATATTCCTTTAGAATTTTCCTAGCTCAGATGATTGGTTGCCCAGAGGGTTTGAATTTGCTCATTCACTTAATAGCTATACTCTTTGTAACAACCACTACATTTAGC